AAACAGCAAAGAAAAAATTCAGATACTTTTAGAGGGAGCAAACTCAGAAATAGAGCAAACCAGTATCTATTACCCCATTTAAACATATTTCCTTCCTGCTTGGCCTCATGTCTTCATTCCTTTCTCTTGTCCACCAAATCACTTACTTCTTACTCTCATAGCTAGCAAAGATGTCTTCAAAGGCCTCGAGGGCGCTCCTCTGAGTGATCAAAGCAGAATCGAGCATAGACGCTCGTCTGTGGAGGGGAAAGGAGAGAACCGCACACACGGGGTCACCAAAAGGTGGAGAGGATATGGGGGACTGAGATGAGGTGAAGGGGATTCATCTGTCAGGGTGAATCCAAAAAACTGTCAGTGTTTATGGATTCAGTTTGGATAAGTTACAGTAACCCAGCTGAACAGAATTCAGGTGTCTGACATTGTCCTTCCTCATCTCATCCAGCACCACAGGATAAATGTGGAGGTCCACAGTTCACCAACTATTTGTAGGTGATTTCGTTCACCTTAAACAATGAGCATCAAACAGAAAATATGCTTCTGTGAGGTTTATAAGTTGAGGAAAGGTTTATGAAGGCTGTATATTATATTGATCCAATTTTAAACAATGAGTCTGTTGATTGTCTGAGTTATTGACCATAAACTAAACAGGACTGACAGTCTGCCTCCACATCCACAGGTGCTACAGATTCCTCCAGTGGAAACAGATCTGACAATTAGAAAACCAGCCCAAACACCACAAAAAACAAGTGAGACAAGTTTCATAGTTTTATATTCAATTGTGTACATTACTTACTTGTACATTCTGTCTATAGGGGCATTGGACCGCTGAAGCTCTCCTAAAGGAGTTCTGGAGATTGGCCGGACAACACCTAAAACAAAAACACAAACACACAATGTTTTTATCATAAGTAGGTATTCAAGTAGAACAACGGTTGATAAAAGTCACATGATTGCAGCAGTTTTTGTTGTTTTAGTTTTTGTCCTGACTTTATTTAATCTTGATAATCCACATAAAAAGGCTCCTACGTCAATGGGCTAAATCTGAGAGCACCAGAATAGTCTGGAGGATTAAGAATTGCACGGAAAACCAAAAAATTCCTATGTTTCTCCATATTCCTCTCTGTGCTTACCTGAGAAAAGATAAATTTCCTATCTACCTATAATGAAAACCCTTTACTTTTATAACATAATTCTGACTGAAGAAACAAGAATGATAGTCTTTGTTTAGCATTAGCATAATTCAGATCAGCAACTACAAAAACATATTCTAAGACTGAATCTTTAAAGACTATTTCACCTGGGATGGCCTGACGCTAACACAGTGATAATGTACCTGAAGTTTTGGCGGCCCAGGAGCGGCCAGCTTCGTTAAAAGCAGCAATGCCTCTGATTGTGGCGCGCAGGATGCCCCATCTAAACATGGCCACCGGGTCCATGCCGATGAGCTGCCGCACATATGCACGATCGCTACTCCGCAACAACGCCACAATGTCGGGACGCATGTGGTCAGTGTTCTTCTCCCGGAAATCCTGCCATGGTTGAATATATCAAGAACATTAAAAACGGCACCATCAGGTTATATATTATATACTAACTACAGTATGTTTCAAACTCTTTTGCTTATGTTACTTCACATCATCGCTGTCCGTCCTCCTCACCTTGATTTGATATTTGACTTTCCCAGCAAAGTGTTGAATGACGAAGGCAGGCTCCATGACTGGTGTGGGTACAAAGTATTTGTTCCCCTGGTGCTGCTGCTTGAATTTGGCCAATAATGTCTCATCTGTGGCATGGGGGAAGCTGGAGCACAGGCACAGAGGGAAGGAAAGAGGAAAGAAGGAAGAATAGAAAGAGAGGAAAAGAAAATTTGTCATTCCTACTCGCAGCTATAAGACATCTTATCATCATCATTGTCTGCAGCTGTTCTTACTTGCTCTCCTCATCCAACAAGTAGAGCAGGCCAGTGGGTTTCTTGCTGATGAGGTGGATACAGCCCACATTGTCTGTGTAGTCGATGTTGTGCCAGGTGATTCCCTCTGCTTGGTACTCCTCCTGGATGAGACAAGACATATCAGAGAATAAGCTCACTGGTGAAATCTAGTCATGCAAATTCACGGTTGATCTTTTGATCTGAATGACTTAACCGATTGGTCTCAAATGCAAAACAGTGACTAACAGATCCAGAACAGATTAATTATTTTTTTATTGTATATGCTAAAAAGATGCAGCAGTTTTCCCAGTAAAGCTTGACTAAATGACTAAATATTTTGAACATGAACTTGCATGCATACTTTTGTCCCTTCAGAGATCAGGAAATGTTTGGATGAGTCACCATTTAAACAGTCGTTATTATAAACACAGAGAAGAGAACAGACATAATTTTGTTCAAGGGCAGGGGTGGGGGCAATGAAACAAGACTGCTCACCTGCTCCAAATTGAAGATGTGGTGGTTGAAATAATACTGCAGCTGCTCGTTTGCATAGTTGATGCAGAACTGCTCAAAGCTGTTGGTCTCAAAGTCCTCAAAGCCAAAAATGTCCAGAACACCAATGGACAAGCACTGAAAAACAGGAACACCAACACATCACTAAAGAAGAGCAGGAAGGGGAATGTATAACAATCATCTTGCCGAGAGTAACAATATTTATAGCATTTAGTGATGTAGAGTGTTCTTCTGTTCTTCATGAAAATTCCTCCAGGTAAGTCAGCAGAGGAAATCTAATTTCCAGTGTGTGTGTGTGTGTGTGTGTGTGTGTGTGAGTCTCTCACTGGGACAGATTCCTCCATATCTTTCTTGTTAAGCAGCGCGTGATTGATGCGTAGCACGATCCAGTCAAACAAGGCGCTGTACAGAGATTTGGCCATGGAGTCTCTTGCTGTGATAGCCTGACGGGAGAAAGACAGGGTTGATTCGGCATATTGTGACGAAAACTCAAAACAACAGAAATAACTGCGCTATTTCATAATGTGCTTTGGAATTAGGATACTTATGTTACAACAAAGATCTGACGGAGGCAAACATCAATGAAGGATTTAACTGATTTTTTTTTTTTAACAGAGAAAAAGGAGGATATAATACAACATTTCACACTGACAAGAAAGAAGAAAATCTACTGTAGGTGTGGTATTAATAAAGAAGCAGAAAGGCATAAGGAAGAAGCAGACATAAGTTAGAGCGCAGTTGGACGCCATTTTAGTAATGCCAAGTCGCAGAGGCGTCTTCATGGCTGGTGCATACCTCAGAGTGGCTGTAGGGGAGGATCAGCTTGTCGTTGACTGTCACCGTTTTTCTCTTCGTCAGCGCCTCAACCAGCAGCTCCTCTTTAACCTGAGAGGTAACCCACACAGGTTAATACTGACATACACAGGTAATTCGCCACACACAGTGAAATATGGAGTCATACAGAAACAAACACACGTTACCTTTAGCAGGTCTGAGAGTGTAGCCAGGACCTCTGGCGGTCCCACATCCAACCCCTCGTCTCGGCCTGTCGACTTCCTCCTGTAGGTCACGTTGCCCAGATACAAGATGGCCGAAAGCACAGAAAAGATCCTGCAACACAGTCACAACAAAAATTGCATAAAGTGAAAGCAACTGCAACAATACAGTCATATGACAAATACAGGAACAATGTTACACATGCTGTTCTTCCGTCTTATCTGTTTTTGATCAATAACTAGTGAAGTGAATTGAAGCATTGTATGGTAGTGCAGTGCACACTGTCTCTAATAAACTGTTACATTAGCCCATTAGCTAATTTTGTGGCTGGTGCTCTAAAAGGGTCTCTTTGTTGTAACTGATATTTTTGGTAATGTATATAATGTATGTAATACTTCAGGATGAATTTTCATCCAAATCCCATCCACTTGTCTGGAAGAATATCCTTTCTCCTTCCTGAATTACACGCACTATTACTGAACATGTTACTGATTCACTTACTGTTTTTTTGTGGCAGGAAGGAAGCCAACCATCTCCATCGCCTGCTGCAGCCTTTCGAAGTCATGACGCAAGTCTTCCTCATCTTCTATCTTAAAGTTTTGCTACAAGGAAAGACAGACGTTAGAAGAGATGTATAAATATGAGAAAAAGACAGCATGAGCACAAAATGGACTCACAAACAGGTGAAGAACAGAGGTGAATGGCAAGGAGGGTGAGGAGAGAGGGGAATAAAAAAAACTGAGAGAACAAAGACTGCTTCATTAACATGCAGGACACATGTGCGCAGTGTATACGGCAGCTTATTCAGAAGCTTGACAGTCTTCATGAATGCAAGGTCCACTCACAGTGAATTACAGTATTACCTTAGAGGTCAAATCACAAACAGGTTATAGTTCATTAACATGATTGTAAGGTTGTTTAAGCAGTGGTTTAAGCAGACTGAACAGGATAGAAAATAAGTTAATAAAGTGAAGAGTAAGAGTACCATTTATATAAAATGGATATATTATAAATTGCTGGATGTGATGGGACATGTACTGGAGTTGTACTGTACCTGCTTGAGGTAGAAGTAGTCTTCAGGCGGCAGCAACTTGAACTCCTTTCTCTCCTCCTCTGAAGCTCCCAACAACAGGTAATAAAACACGTGGTAGTTCCTGGATCAACAACAAACATCGTTCTTAATGCCTGTACTGCTCAAGAACTGTACTCACACCAAGTTATAACTGCAAGAACTTCTTTAAACTGCTCTTCAAAAGGTTTAACTAATTCTTGTGTGCTTCCATGATTTGTTTGTATTATTATCTGGTGAGCAGTTTATCAGCGGAATTGAGCTTCATGTTTATGGTCACAAATAAAGGGTAGTTTTGGTGATAAACCAAGAGTCAACATTGTAAAAAGCTAACAGAAAGAAGACAATGTCTGGAACTCAGTGATGTTAATATCAGTTTTCCACTCATGCTATCAGTGGGCATGTAGGTAGATAGGCGGCAAAGCTTTGTTGTAAAAGCACAAGGGAGTAATGAGTTTCCACACTTATCACAAAGAAATAATGACATCATATACAGTACAGTCACTCCCTGACTAGACAGGCAAGTTACACTGTCAACAGCAACTGTAGGCCAGGTGATTAACAGTACACTGTGTAGGCTGCTAGAAGCGTGAACGTAACGAAGGCGGGCTTGTCAAGGGAAGGCAACTACATTTTCCAAAACTAGGTGGGAAAACCTGGACAGGAAACATGAATGAGTAATGTTCTTCCCACTCAAAACAGCCACAGTATGTTTTTATACAAGGCATCAGCTGCTTCAGCTGAGCTGCTCAGTGGAAGACTGTGGTTTTACCCGGATGACTGCTTGTGTGTATCTTTATCTGAGCAAATCTAAAATGGATTAAAACTTGACTTGTTTGTTGTGCAGTTAGAAATGGCCTTTCTGCGTAAACAGTTAAATCATTACCACTTCATGGCTAAAGCTTTGCTGTATATAAAGGGTAACTATTCATTTAAAAATCAGGTTTTTTCCCCTATTGGTTTCATTGATGCAGTAACTGGATGTAAAAAAGTCTCTCAGTCTCTTCTTTTAACTCATTCTTCAGTAAAATATATTAGTGCATATGAAACGACAGTGGGTGATTTGCACTCTGACAGTATTTCCCAATTACCAAAGCCCAAATATCTGTTTGCATATTACTCACACAAGTAGCAACAGACTGATAGTCTACTTGGGAGTGAATGTCACAGTGAGCAACAAAGGCTTGCATGATGTGAAGGACAAGTGAGGGATGACATGGTGAGTGAGGCATTTTCTCTCGAAATTAACCCTGCAGATAGGAAAGTGATTATTTCTTTCTCACTTGTTTGTATAGTGTTCTGGAGCAATGACTCACATGATCCAGAATCAGTGAAGTTCACATTAAAATTAGGCAAAACCAAATTATATCAATATCAGCCATCACTGCTACATTCAAAACGCAAGTACACACCGTATGGTATATGACCTTATTCAGTTCACTATGGACACACAGCTAATGCTCGTATTATCAAACAGTTAGTACATAATCAAGCATTTAGGTGAATAATATTTCAACCCACAGTGTCTGAATAGGTGTGTTCATGTATGTGGGGTTGTAAGCGTTTTGGCAGATGGCCATGTAAAGTCAAAGACTTCAGACGGAAGTCTTCAGCTGAACTTCATATTTAACCATCAGAGGCTCCCCATGTTTGTACAGAGGGCCTCATGAAGGTCAATGAGGGTGAAGGGTCAAGACCTCACCTCTCGTTCTTCTCTCGGGAGACCAGACGAGACTTCTCCAGGAGATACTTCTCTACCACAGCCCTAAATGAGAAAGGGGGGGCGTAGGGGAGGAGTGGAGTAGAAACGGACAAGAAAAATGGGGAAGAAGAAAAACAATGGAGGATGAATCACTTAACTCTAAAGGTCACTCAGCCCTGTCTGTGTGTGTGCGTTTTCAGGTCATATGTGAAAGTGGGCTGGTAAAAAAAAAAAAAAAAGAAAATAAGAGGAGGAGTGGGAGGGGAAGTCAGGGCAGATGGTCGGAACAATCAAAGAGTGAACAAAGCGTTCGAATAGGGTCGGATGGATCGTAGCAAATCACACACCCCATACAGACAACAACCAGGCAACTTTGGAATTAATTTCTTTTATTGTGTAACATCTAGCCGGACAGAGGAGACTGAGGGGTAGAGGTATGCTTTCAGACCACTGCAGTCGCTGGTATTTATTTACCCACTACACCAGACTAAGGTCATAAAGTTGTCTAAATAAGATTTTATAAGTCAGAGCTGTTTTTTCTATAACCAGGCAAAAACAACACTGACGCCAGTCCTCACGACACACCAAAAATAGAGCTGTGCTGTGAGAAACACATCTGCTAAAAATGCAGCCAAAACTATAGATAGATTTATTGAGACCAAGTTCATGCATCTGCTGTATAGATCCGCTAGTTTGAGTTCCCTTTTCTCAGAACAGTGCACTTACTTTAATTTATATTATAAAAATGTTGGGTTGGCGTTTGTTGGAAGTGTCATGGCCACAAACACACCCACAAATACTATTTTTAAGAATTTGACAGGACAGAGCCTTGTGGCGTGCCCTGAATAACTGATGAATTTAGATTAGGCTTTCCCTTGAACCAGTTGTAACTAGCTACAGGTATCTTGTACAGGTGTTAACCGTGTCAACAGCTTTTGAAACATCCATGAATACATACAGAAATACAGGCCACATAGGCCTTTACAGCTTGGTGCTGCTTCTTGAAAAACTTAAACAGAGGTCCGCCAAACTAGGCATCTAAATTAAATTTCTTGGTTCTGTGGTTTTGTACTTGTGGAGGTACATTTGTTTCAGTGAACCTGTTTCACATCTGAACGCATTACATGATGAGTTTAAGTAAATTGTGCACATGTAATGTTTGTAAATGTATTTTGAGGGGGTTTCTGAGCATTAAGCCCAGATGATAAATGAATCTAAATGGGCCACCACAGGAGATAGTATGTAAATATGATATCTCCTGAAAAGATTGTATGTTTATGAGCTAATTTAATTGAGAACAGTGCACATCAGCAAGAATGTTGACAGGAGCCTTGTTTCAGAAAAGTACACAGGAGCCGACTGACATACTGTCTATACAGTATCAGCATTTATCACAGGGGTAAGAGAAGTCTCACAACACATACTGTACATACCGAAACATCCATCCGCACTGTATGAATGGATGGAAACCACCTCTTTTTTACACCTCCTCAAAAATGTGTGTTCCTTTTCATCGTTCTGCTTCATCTCGCTCAGTGAGGAAGGATTAGCCGGACAGAGACCCACAGAAAGAGTACAAAAATATCTCTTCTGTCAGTTAGTCAGTCCACTCAGAAAGCAGAGCACAACAGCAGCCTTCTCTTTGTTAATCTCCTCTATTGACTATCTGAATGGCTGCCACAGGAGATGGAGAGATAGACAGGCAGCCTTTGTCAGGTCTACAGGGCAGAGTTGTGGTGGTACTCCGAGTCCAACACTTTACTGATGTGAAGCAGAAGGCTACACAGTGATGGTACACTAAGTGTTTTAGTTTGACTACATTCGTAGTTTTCAGCATTTTCTCGTCTAAGTGGGTTCGCTTTATAGCACAGCAGCATCAGCCAACTAAAATCAACTCTCCTGATTGGATTACAGACCCTTCTCAGGGTAATAATAATAATAATCATCTTTATTTGTAGAGCACTTTTCAAAAACAAGTTACAAAGTGCTTCAACAAGTGCAAAGACAACAATACAAGCAAGAAAACATTGAAAAGACCAAAATACATGTTTAAGATACATATAAAATAAGTAAAATAGAATAAAATAAAAGGGATAAAATAAAGTCAAAGCAATTCAATAGAGCATGATGAAACCTGCAGCCATCAGGGGATTATCAGGTTGGGGATGCCCACTTACTGAGCTGCTGAGCAGCTGTCGCCACAGGCATTTACATGTTTCAAATCAAATTTTATTTCTAGTATGAAACACCTGCATACACACCAGCGTTTAAAAATATCATCTTGTTAGCCTTTAGTATGAACACTGTACCGGGCTTTCAACTCTTTCACCACAATTACAGCACATCATGTTGTCTTTTTAAGACACTGTATTGAGCAGCTGTTCCCCTCTGCTGTTGTGGAAATGAGGAAGTGACACAGTCGACCAGACTTTGATGCAGCTCCTAACCAGAGTCTGACTGCTAAGAAAAAGGAAGGGCATGCCATTGGTTGAAAGTTTTAGTCTACATGCACACTGCACAGAGTAGAATCCACATGACCAATGATAAAAGAGAGCAAAGAGGAAGATATTAGACTAAAGGGATGACGAGTTACAGCAAGAGGAAGAGGACATAGAGCGCAATCATTTAAATGCCCCTGTATGGTGTGTAATGCATGTTGAGGCAACGTGGCCTGACTCGACTTTGTTTGAGGCCTTGATGAGAGTGAAAGATACACACACAGACATGCGACCTCTGTTAATTACTCACCCTCTGACCACACCGCTCTCCAGGTAATTAACCTGGATGAATTTACCAAAGCGGCTGGAGTTGTTGTTGTGGGCTGTCTTGGCGTTTCCGAAGGCCTGACAGAGAAGAGCAGGAGAAAACAGAAACACAAAGTAAAGTTTAAGGCTTTGAAGTCAAAAACATGCAGTGTGTTGTCAAATCAACAACTTTTCTGTAATATCACTATGGTCGCTTTTCCTTGTCAGTGAGGTAACAGGTTTATAAGACAACAAAATTGTAGTTGGGTTTGATTGCAGTGCCTCAGCTGAGTTTTAAACCTTTATGGAGGTACAATTGGGTGCAACACAATCTGGGAGTGTATCTTCAAGCCAGCTTGTCTATTAGCAACCTCTCTGAAGTCAACAACAACAAATCACCATAACAACGGAGAAACTCGACAGTCAAGGGGTTAAGTCTTGTTTTTGAACAGCAGCTGAGACCACAGAAGGGGGCTGGGACTGTGTGTGTGTGTGTGTGCCTGTGTGTGCGCATGCTTGTGCATGTTGGGGGTCTCAGGAGGGGGCGAGCATCTGCAGTGCCCTCCTCTCACTCTCTTCCCATCCATCCCTTTCTTTTCTTTCCTCCTTCAAGACCTTTCCCCTCATTCCCTTGTTCACTGTGTGTGTGTGTGTGTGTGTGTGTGTGTGTGTGAGTGAGTGAGTGAGTGAGTGAGAGAGCATATGCACATAAGTTAGTGATGATAAATGAGGTTGGGACAGCCGTTCTGTATAGCAGTGTCAGACCAGCAGCAGAAACAGAGAGGACCAGCTTCTCCCCAGGCTTCAGGCTACAGCTAACTCAGCCAGGGGCTCACAGAGCCCAGCCACTAGGCCTCGCAGAGGGGCCCCGTTTATCACATTAATACGGTCACAGAATAGCTCTCTTTTTTTCTTTCATGATGCTCACATGGTTACAGATAGACAGATAGAGACACACACACACACACACACTCCACAAAAGGCCACTGCAGGGGAAGTTGACTCAGTGCATGTTAAATAGGAGCCACATTGTATCTTTCAAAGCAGTTGCAGGGTGAATTTGATACAGTGGTGTTGGGGCTGATTAAAGTTAGGGGGCACTAACACACACACACACACACACACAATCTACAGGGTCTGATTGAGAGTCCTTAGGATGATCCATTAACCCATTTTCATTTCTGCTGCTCAAGTAGATCTGCCAGTCTTGCAGTAGCTCTGTTCTTGTCTTACTAAATATTTTCTTCTCTTTTTACCCATTTGCACCAATATAACTTCAAAACAAAAATGTGATTTTAAATAGTTCATGTGAGACCTGAGGGAAGAATGAGGCAAGAGTTGTTGCCCGTTGATGGATGACGAAAGAGATGCAGGTGTCACTTTTCTCTTATCAGTCACCATTTTCATCCAACTTCATCGTAACCTGAACTTGCTCAGACAAGGCTCCTACACACCCACTCACTGGGCTTTCTCTCTCTTAATCATTTTTTTGCATTTGTGTGCATAACATACACAAACTCTACCACACTGGTATTGTGGTATGTGCATTTCTGGATGCATGTTTAGTAATGCTTACATATAATGTGTAAGATCATAAATTTATTTATTCATTCAGGTGTTGCCTGTGTTGACAATGCCATCACTTCTGTTTCAGGTTTGAGGGTCAATAAGTGTGTTTTGGCACTGATACTCCAAAGCGTCTTATTGCTCAAGGCGACCCAATGTGCCCAGTACTATTCTGATCACCCCCACTCCACAAACCTTGCAGCCAAATGCACAAAACCCTGGGAAATGTCTGCAAAGCCCAGACCGCTGCACCATGGAGGGAATGCTAAACATATCACAGCATCTTTCATATTCAAACTTGCCCAGGAGCAGAGGATCGGATTGGCTGGAAGGCTCAGCAGGTATGGAGAAGCGGAACAACGGCTTGTCAAATCGTGTCCACGGAAAGATGTGGTCTAATCTGAACTCTTACGAAATAGGGGTTGATCTCAATGAGGTTACGGAAAAAACAGAAGGAAGGGAAAGTGAGAAGTAGAGAAAGAAAGGTAGGCACAGCCATCTGCAGTGTGTACATACAGTATCTTCATGCTGTGGGTACGTAGATCCAGTGATCATCTCATGACGTTTAATGTAATTTTAACTGATTCCTCTCTGTGGTGAGCCGCCTTCTCTGGCAGCCAGCTCCCCTGTACATTCCCACTTCAACAGAGCCAGACCTACCCGAATTAAGTCTCACATCCCCATTCAGCCCCCTCACACACACACACTTCTCCTTACAAACCAAACTAGGGGAATGTATCTGAAACACTGCAGTTCAGGAGTTGTTTGTCTCAAAGGCACATGGGGCAGAGACGAGAAAGTATAAATTATATACTCTAAAGGGACATTAAATGTTACGTGTAGTATAAACTTGCGCAAATATGAACAAACAAAAAAAACATCTTCGTAAGGATATCGTCTGATGTGGTATACAAGATTAGATGACAACAGAAATAAACAAATTCAGTTTCAGAAACAACTTTCTGAGTCGTCATACTTTCCCTGAGCTGTGTGTGGTGGCTCCTATAAGTCACTTCTGCAGGGCTTCAGACTGTGACCATTTAGTCACATTTTGCAACCATTTTTGCAGACAGCATCACAAAATTTTATGAATCAGAGCACCATTGTGATTTGCAAATATTATCATGCAAGTTGCATAGGGCCCAGCCACCCCACGTGTCAAAGCTGGTTTCAGTGTTTACTTTTACTTATTAACTTTGATGAGAGGATGAAGCGGAACTATTCTTTTGGTCACGAAAAGAAGAAAAAAAAAACAAACACCAGAGAGTGAACTGTGGTAACAGCAACCAGTTAACTTGTGCTTTCTCCTCTCCAGGTTTGATGTCAGCCAACAGTTAAGATGATGTGCTAGCGTGCACTGTGTGTCTTGGTCTGTCTGTGTCACTTCCAGGGCTGTGTTTTTGTGACTGACAAAAGTGATTGTGAAATACAACTATTTATCAATTCTGATGAACACCAACGGGCAACAGAATGTAGCCGCATTGCGTGTGAACTGTGAACAAGTCATGAAACTTGCACTTTCCGGGAGCGACCTCTGTGTGGACCAGTCCACTCCTCATAGGCACACGTAGTTTTAACACAAGATAACGATTATCTAGTCTCTCAGTTAAGGTTTAGTTACAACTCTGGACTAATGCAAAATACAAAGCAATGGAATGACACTGACTACTGATTAAATAATGAACTGAAATGTTATTACTCACTTCTCTTAAGATTCTTCCAAAATACTGTTTGTTTATACCTCATTCTGTTGTGCAGAGGTCTACTTATTCTTAGATCGACAGATGGAGCAAACAATTTTAAAGGAAGGAGGATTGTTACACTGGTGTGTCAGGTGTGACTGTGTGGCAATGGCAAATGGTGGAAATAGCTCCCAGGACAGGTCGGAGGGCCCCTTTATAGAATTGTGCTGAGGGCCCCGGGGAGTTGCACGTCGATTTAAGTGGTGCTCTTAAATCTTGGGAGCACCAGCGCTACTGGTGCGCTGTTCTGTGATGATCCGGGAGCATTACAGTTTTTAGTGTAATTTCAAAAACGCAACAACAACTAAAGGTCTTCAACTACTAAAACTGAAAGGAGAGAGAAAAAACTCTTTTGTGGTCAGTAAAACCTTACAGCTGGTGCTTGGGTACTTGGGCTTATTGCTATGACACTGAGGCACTGCTGCATCCTTTAAAGTCTAGATGCTCAAAAGAGCTTCAGTTCAATGTTTCCACAGGCGCTGCCAAGGCCCTGACATAGACACCTCGCTACAGCATGGATACACTCACAAAAGGACTTTAAATAGTCCAACCGCCACAAAGACAGTTCCCACATTCTCAGCAGGCAACGGCAGGCGCTCATGCAAAAATTCATCAAACCTCTAGATGTGCTCGCTTATTCAGCTGCAGACACTTCACACCCACTACTACAACAATCATGTTCCCAACTCAAGCTTGTATACTCAATTACAGAGAACGAAGAAGCAAGGTAATAAACTATATAATCACTGGTAGATACAATGTTGAGTCAAAACACCAGTGGCACTTAGTGACAAAATAATCACTGTTTGTTGTTGTCCTGAATGTGAAAAATGCTTTGGTGAGATCACATGACGTTGGCAGTGACTGAATGCAACCACATCTCTACACAGTTCCTCCTCTATGCTTGGCCTTCAAGCCGCCACTATATCCCACCAACTACACTTAAACCCCTTGAGCTTAACTCAACTGAATTGTTAACAAAGAACTGATTCTTTAAGGTACAATAACATCGTCAATAGCGCTCAGAGGGGCTGGTACTTTGATTCAATGTTCCACTGAATGCAGTTATATAGAACCACTTCATTCATTTACCGCATGAAGGTCAGAATAAAATAGTATTTCTAAGCTCTACTGTCTGTTACTTATTAATCTAGTGGAAACTTTTCGGCAATCCTCATCTTTAATAGTATGAACAACTTAGTATGCAAAGTCCACACACGCATTTCAGCATCAAGAGTATACATCATACATGGTGTCACAACTGGTAAGTGACGCCACTTCTGAACATAAGAATGCAATCTGCAATGACACCATGAACTGAACCGTGCAACCATACACCAATCTAGTCCTGGTATATTTTCCGTAGCATTAAGATTTTGGGCAATTCACAAAAAGGTAGAGTTGCTAACACACTCTTACATTATTCCTAAATGGGAAACTAAATCTTTTCATTTCTGTGTCTAACTTTTACATTTATAGGTATTTGTGTTTATCACTGCTGGAATAAGTTGGCCCAAATTTGTATTTGACATATGTCATATCAGCACTCTGTATGTTAATCCGCGACTCTGTCACATAGACTTCTCTTGGGGAGGGAAATACAAACATAATTTTTTGCCTATTATCCAGCAGCAGTTTGCATCATCAAAGCCAATTTCATAACCTCACAGGTGTTTGCTGTCTGCCTGGTAATAGAACAGCTTTGCTCAGGGCATTTAAATCCAGTATTTCCCCTACACTGTGCCCAGTTTTTCTGCAGAAGTGCACTGCGGTACTTTTCTTCGCTGTACT